CCAGGAACACTCCCAAGCTGCAGACCTGTGTTTTCAGAGGGAGTATAACTCCATCCAGCGCAGGCTGCAACCCTATTCCTTGATCTGGTTTTCAGTTGACCAGGAGCATCTCTGTCTTGTCTGGATGAAGCTTCAGTTTATTCATCCTCATCCAGTCCATTACTGACACCAGACGTTGATCTAGAACCGAGGCAGCTCCCTTGGATTTAGATGGAAAGGAGAGATAGAGTTGGGTGTCATCAGCGTACTGGTGACACAGAGCCCTAAAACTCTGGGCAACCTCTCCCAGTGGTTTCATGTAGATGTTAAATAGCATAGGGGGCAAAACAGAGACCAATGGCCAGGTCGAACAAGAGTCCCCCAGCACCACCTTCTGGGTTCTCCCCTCCAGGAAGGACCAGAGCCACTGTAAAACAGTGCCTCCAAGTCCCATCCCAGAGAGGAGGCCCAGAAGGATACAATGCTTGATGGTATCGGAAGCCACTGAGAGGTCCATCAAAACCAACAGGGACACACTCCCACTGTCCAGTTCCTGGTTGCCACCAAGTCAACCAAAGCAGTCTCCATCCCATAATCAGGTCTGAAGCGAAACAAAGTAGCTCTAGATAATCCACCTCATCCAGGAACATCTGGAGCTGAGAAGTCACAACCCACTCCAGCTCCTTGCCCAAAAATGGGAAATTAGAGACTGGCTGATAATTATCCAGTACTGGATAATTATCCAAGGAGGGTTTTTTGCAATAATAGTCTTATTACTGCCTTTTAAAAGCATGCTGGGATGCTACCCTGTAGCAAGGATGCATTCACCACCCCTTGCACCCACTTGACCAATCCCTCTCTGTCAGATTTTATAAGCCAGGAGGGGACTTATCTCAAAGGGTCCTGACCACATCAGGATGCAAAAATGGGAACTTAATGTATCCATCAACACCAGACGACCATAGTTACATCTATAGGACCTGTATTAACTGCAGCATCCAGGTCAGAACTGATCAGAACGATTTTCCATGCAAAGTGCTGTGCAAATTTTTCTCAGCGAGCTACAGTGTGGCCAGCACTATCTTCCTGTGGGTCAGGCCCTTAACCACTCAAAAGAGCTGTGCTGGGTGCCTCTGCAGATGCAGTGGTGGCAGAGAAGAATGACTTTTTCATCACCACCACTGTCACAGAATAGGCCTTTTAATGGGTTCTAGCCTATGTTTGGTCGGATTCACTCCGAGTTTTCTGCCATCTTTGCTCTAGCCTCTGTCCCATTCGTTTCATCACCACCAGCTCTCCAGTAAACCAGGGAGCACGTCTGGCTCTATTTTGTAGGAGACGAGGTTTAGGAACAATTGTGCCAACAACCCTGATCATTTTCCCATTCCAAAGTTCAGCCAGGGCTTCAACAGAATCACCTGCTGAGGTGACAGGAAACTCCCCAAGAACAATCAGGAAACCATTTGGATCCATCAGCCTCCTGGGGTGGATCATCTTAATTAGTCCCCTACTCCTGCAGATGCTCTGAGTTCCAGTGAGTCTCAACCCCACCAGATGATCTGTCCATGGCAACAGAAATACAGAGAGTGCCTCCACACCCTGATCATCAACATATACCCCAGGGTCAAAAATGGGCCCGGCAGCATGAGTGGGGCCAGATACCATTTGGGACAGCCTCATGGTCATCATGGAGGACATGAACCACTCCTGACAAAGCTGCCTTGGCAGGGAGGTTGAAGTCCTCCAGCACCACCACCCCAAGACCAACTCAGAGAGCTCAGGAAGGGAGACTGTTGAGCAATGGGGTGGGCATTACACCAACAGAATCTCTATTCTATCCTGGGCTCCTGCTTTGAAATACAAACATTCAAACCAGGAAAACAGGGATGTGGCACCTGATGAGGGGGATAGTATCACGATAGATCACTACAACTCCACCTTCCCACCCTCACCCAGGGTCTTGCCTGATGCTGTGGCTGCAGCTGCAGAGAGAACCCTGGTGGACAAAGCTGAGTGAGATTGACACCCCCAGCCTCATCCAACCAAGTCTCTGCTTTGCAAGCCACGTTGCCTGCTCAGGACCAAGTCCTGGGTGGCAGTTATTTTCCCATTGACTGATCTGGCATTTCTTAGGCATCTTTCAGTCCCGAGAGACTATGGTAACGTGCTCTGTATGAGTGTCCTTTCCAGAGCACGAAGCCTGGGTCAAATAATATGGAGGATAGGCTGTTACCCAAGCAGCAAATCCCCCCTCTCCACGTTGCTGAAATAGTCCAATGGAAAGTCCAATACAACTGGTTCCAGCGACATCTCAGGAGTTGCCAGAACAACACAAACTGCCTCCGGGACTCCGGCACCGGATTTTGCCTTGAGGTTAACTCCTGAAACCTTTTCCCTCAGTGGATATAGCCACAAGGCAGTGGATGTTTGAAATTGGAGTTTTCCTTCTCCTAGATGGGCTTCCAAGGCTGATGAGCACCACCTACCTGGTTCTGGCATTTAGCAGCAGGATTTTCAACCCAAGGGGCCTGCCACCAAGGCTATCCAAGCTATCCAAGCTAGGGGCATCTTTTCCCCCTTCACTCTCACATGGTGCTGTGAGTGCTGTCCTGCACCATATTGCCCCCTGCCATGAACAGTTCCAATCACTTCTTCCTGATTCCCCCACCCCCCCCACCATATTGCCCCCTGCCATGAACAGTTCCAGTCGCTTCTTCCTGATTCCCCCACCCCAAGTATTTTCTTTCCCATCAAAACACATCCCTCAACAAGCAAACAAAGGCCATGTTAGTATCTTCTCCCCAGACTTGGCAGGGGCTGGGAAATAGATTACAAAAAACTAAAATGAGAGGGGATGATCTGGGAAGGTTTTGCTGTTTTAAAAATACAGAAAGGAAGGAATACAAAAAGAAGGATTCGTTAAAAAGGTCTTTGTAGAGATTTCTGTTTGTCCTATTTGTGTCTCAGTTAGGATTTGGATTTTCTGTATTGAGCAGAGGCAGCCCTATCAGGAGAAGAGTGAAGGGATTGCCTCAGGGAGCAAATTTCAGGTGTCATGAAAAGGCATTACATTGTTAATTCTTTTTTAAAAAAATGTATTAACAGCGAAGGGAAAAGGTACATGTAGGATTCCTGCCTCATGTGTCAAAATGACATAGCTGATGTTAAGTACAGTGTATCTTGACCTGGATGGGTAGGGAACAGAAAAGTACAGTGGGGTGGTTCAAGTATATTATTATATCAATGGAGCCAAAGAGGCGAAAGTCACAGAGAATACAGTATCTATTGAAGCAGTAGAGCTATTTTATGGTCAGGGGACAAACAAATCTTCAGAGTCTGCGAGTAGACTGCCTGTGTGAGAGAGAGTGAGCCGTCCTCCATCAAAATTGTGCAGGAGGAAGCCTGTGAATGCGCAGAAGGGATACTTATAAATATAGAAGAAGAAGGGATGACAGAAAGGAGGGCTATAGAGGTGTGTTTATCAGAAGATCAAGGGGAGGAGAAAGACGAGGAGCAGGATTTGATAATATGGGGGGAGGTAATAAAAGAAGGAGGTGACATGCGAGAATTCAGAATTCAAACGGAACCAAGAGGAAGGGAGACAAGGGACTGTGCGGTACAGTCTGAGAGAGAAGAAGAAACTGCAGATAAGGTCTGTAGCCTGCTAAAAGACTTTCCTAATTTGAAGACTGGTGGAGGATTGCTGCCAGATCTGGAGTTACCAAAGGTGGAGAAGATATGATCAGCCCTTTTAGAATGGACTGTGGTAGTATACTCCCGCAATCAAGGTGGGGGGAGGAGAGTGATTCGTCCCAGTCCCTCCTACAATGGTCCACCTCTAGAAAGGGACTGGGCGAGGCACCCCTGTTGTGGGTCAGTATGCGCGGTCAGGAGTACCCCATTGAGAAGAATGATGGATCCCGAATGCTTTGGTCCAGCCTGAGTGTAAGGAGTGAGATATTAACTCCAGGGACAAAGGTTTTGAGTTACAAGATGTTACCAGCATTAAGTTGTTTAGATCCTTTCCATTTATTTACTCTGGATATGGAAGTTAATAAAGTTGAATCAGTTGAATTTTTGAAATCACCTCCATCCCTTATTCTTGCCAAAAGGAGGGACCATCGCTGAAATATGAAGAACCGGATCACACTGCTTGTTTGTTTGTAAGTGGTAACAATAGTTGGGGGAGGAAGGTGTCAGAATTCAGGGGATTTCCACATAGGATGCAACAGCTTCCATGTTTATCCCACTTCTGCCCCGTGAAAGCCATCAAAACTGCTCATCATGCTAGCGTGCAGTGTAGTAAAGAGAATATTGGCCTGGGACTTTGAAGATCCAGATTCTCCTCAATCCTCCCAATGGATGACCCTGGGCTAGTCTATCTTCCTCAGCCTGATCTACCTCACAGGGTTATTGTGAGGATAAAGTAGGCAGGAAAAGAGCCATGTATGTGACTCACTGGAGGAAAGGCAGGATATAAATAGGGCTGGTGAATATTTGCATGCAGAACATCTACCACTGAGTCTTATTGATTAAGACAGCTGTCATATGCATCCCATTGCATAATGAACAAATGAGAGTGGGCTGGACCAGTGCACTATGAATACAGCCCTTCAGAAAATTCAAGAGTATAAAAACAGGCTGTTTTGTGATTCTGACATATTGTGTCCTTGGTAACTTTCTAGAGCAATCGGTATTGTCTCGCCCAATTATAGTATGTACAATAGTATGATTATACTTCTCCCCCTCCCCCCGCTCATTTGTATGTTTGTGCCTTTCAAAAGTCCATTCAACTCCTAATTCACTTGATGCTTAAAACCAACATGAAAGTGCTTGGGTGAGTTTAAGTGCTTCCAGATGGGGCTTGGATTGTGCAATCAATATTCTGCTTTGCCTCAATTCATAGAGGGTTTTTTTTTTTTTACATATCCTGACAATGTCACCTACTGCTTGTAAAAAAAAAACACCCTTCACAAATGTTTTCTCGCCAGTGACTTTTCTTTTCACCTTTTCTCTGACAGAACAGCTGTACAGTGTCTTTGGACTGATAGTGCGAGGACCATTGATCTGGAAGCCCCCTGCGTTTGGGCATTCAAACTGAGGTACTTGTCTTTTTCATCAGACTTAGTGATGTGCTTATGTAGTGTCGGATAACCAGCGATGAATGGGATAAGGGACCATAAACTGAAGTGTAGATCAAGGTTCATCTGATCTAGAAGCTATTGCACAACCTGTTCTGAATGGGTTTACATAAAGGTTTGTATCCTAAGGCTGCTATTAGATCTAGTCTTCTCTTTGAAGACCTGACTGCCATCCGTAGGTGACTCAAATTGAACTGAAAGCCAAGATAAAGTTATCTAGATTAGTCTGGTAATATCTGATTTGTATTAACACAATCTGTAATATAAGTTAAATATTTTGGCTCCATTTCTAATCACAACATTGTCTTTCAAAGTTTGGGATTCTTTTCACATGGACATTCCCAGACATAAAACCTGGCCTCAAAAATCCCTTTAGTGGGCATCTTCATCTTTGGAAATGAGAAGGCAGTGGCTTGAAGTAGATCTCTTCAGTTGTGCTGCTTCAAATCTAGAATGATCTCCTCACAGAGGTTCATCTGGCATAATTTCAGTAGTTTTAGGTTCTTGTTTGTTCTTAAAGACTGCTGTTTGAACTGAATCAGACATGATCATGTTTCTCTTGCTCAATCAAACCTTGTAAAAGTATATATCTTAAACAATATATCTGGGAAGAAATCACATGAGGCTCATGACAGGTTATTAGATATTCATGAATTCTCACCTCAGCTCCACTTTAGATTAATCTGACATCTATGATCTTCTACCTACCAGAACACATACACATACAAACATTGAGAGGTTCTCTTTGGAAACCTCTTCAGAGGAAAATAAAGAAGTGTTTGGTCCATCTGGAGTCAGGTGCATATTTAACATGGTTTTTACTAAATCTGAAGAAAAGTTTAAATATTTTTGGTTCACAATAATCACTATAAATTGCAGAATAGTCTCAATCAATTTGTGTGAATGAACATTCTTAAGAAGGTCTCTGCTGGATCAGACCAAAGGCCCCTTTAGTCCATAATCCTGTTGATCACAGGACAAACCACATGCCTATGGGAAGCCCATTGGATAGAAACAGAGGGTAACAGGCTGCTGAAGGGAAAGTCAAGATAGTTAGATCTCTCTACAAAAATTAGGGATAATTATTCGACACCATGAGAATATTAATGAACTCTAAAGATAGCTCATTAATTTGGTCTGAGTAAACATGATGCTGTTGCTACTGTTTAGATTTTTCCCAATACTGTATAGCTGTAGAACTACTTATAGTCATTTCACCTAAGGTGAGAATCCATTCGCACATTTCAAGCTATATGAGATATTTAAGGACTGGCTTTAACATAGCAACCCCACAGTGAGTTTCCAAGGTCAAGCACAGATTTGAAACCTGGTCTCCTGAGCTGTCATCATCATCATCATCATCTTAGAATTGCAGAGCTGGAAGGGCCTCTATGGATCACTGAATCCAGCTCCCCCATCAAGGTGGTGCAGTGGGGAACCAGAACCTCCTAGCCCATCACTCTGTCAACTGCATTGGCTCTCTAGTTACTGTTCTGCGGCCTTGTATCCTTATTTCATTCATTGTTTGTGTTAGGGATTACATGCTTCCCTGTCCAAAAAAATCTATAATACAGGGGGGGAAAAGGTTTATGGCAGCACTAATAAGCAATTGGAACAACAGTCTCCTTTAAATACACATGTCTCCTGATATCAAATCCATCCAGTAATAGTGGCAGTGAAATTATTGATTTAGAATGAAAACAATGCTCAGGTCTTTAAAACATGCCTTTTCCTACAAAATAATTGATTTAGAACGAAAACAATGCTCAGGTCTTTAAAAACATGCCTTTTCCTACGATGGAAATAGCTTCCCTGGAGTGGTAGGTGGAAAGCAGGGGTGGGGTGGGGGACAGAGGGAGGGAGGGTGTATTCATTCAGAGAGGCTAAGCCACAGAGCACCTGGCAGGCAGATGGCCAGCAGTATCTGACCCACACGTTTGTTCTGGATTTACTTTGAGTGTCTCTGGATAATAGATTTAGAAGGTTGGGGGTCAGAAAGAATTAGAAAACTGTAGCTAGTTGCAATTAAACCAGAGTTATTTTTAGAAGACAAAGAAGTGACTGATAGGGCTGAGCTTGAAGCTCCATTAGATCTACTTGAAACACTGTGGCTCAGAGATGATTACCATAATTGCAGGGCAGTATTGAGCGTTGTATTCTATGTTCATAGCAACAAGGGAGCCCCTAATGCTATGCACTGCAGATAAGCGTAGCAGCAGGTGGGCAGAGACCAACTGTGAGCTGCTCATAGTAGCAGGAAAATGGAACTGGCATCTTCCACACATCCCTCCCCACAACAAATATGTTGTACTTTCTTCTGAATGTGGCTTCTAAACTCTCCACCATTGTTTATTTCTTATTTTCATTTGTATTAGTTGCCTCATAATGTGCTTGCGGTTTTTCCACCAGTGTGTATGTAGACTGACTGCTAATTGAACTAGGGTTGTTGACAAGGACCGGCCACTTCACAGTTTGTGGAGGCTTCCCCCCCCCCCAAATGTGTTGCTGTGGCACATAGACAGTGAATGGAGGGTCTGTGCAGTGAGACGCTCTGTACTTCTACATTATAGTAACTCAAAGATTTGATCTGTGTGCTGTTTTCTCATTCTGCATCCATTTTCGAACTTCAACTGTAATCTCCTCTTGGAAGATGGGGCTCTTTCTTTTTGTAAACAGAGAGAAGGGACGGGTATTTTCTTTCCTTCCCCACTGTTCCACCATTGTTTATTTCTTATTTTCATTTGTATGTGGGGGTGGGTGGGTTGTTGTTCTGTGCTGTCAAGTCGGAACAGACTTATAGTGACCCTAACAGGGCTTTCAAGGTAAGTGAGATATTTCTGGGGTGGTTTTACAAATACCACTCCCCCAGTTTTCATGGCCGACCGGGGATTCACATCATGTTCTCCAGGCCTGTTCTCCGCTCTACTCAACGCACCACACTATGAATCCAAGACTAGGGGAAGTGGTTATAATTGCTACGTTACACTATCTACTGTTAGAACTTATTAGTGACCCTAATAGTACTTTACGTGGTTATAATTGCTACGTTACACTATCTAACGTTAGAACTTATTAGTGACCTTAATAGTACTTTAAAGGTAAGTGAAATATTTAAGCAATGGTTTTATGAGTGAGTTTCCTTGGCTGTGAGTGTTGGATTTGATGCATACATCACTCTCATACATCACTTTATCCACTATGTCACATCAGCAGTGGTTGCAATTAGGATATAAAAATAACAGGATGAGTAACAGTACTCATTACCTTTTTTAGTTTTAAGAGCCAATGCTGTTTCTTTTCAAGCATCTTAATATCAGCAGTATTAATCTTGAAGTATTTTTCAGCAGTGAGTAAGTCTCAGAGTTCACCCCTTTCTCATTAATTGACACTTGGAGTCTGGTTCACCCCTTTCTCATTAATTGGCACTTAGAGTCTCAATAACACACTCCGACATATGTGTAGGAAAAAGAATGAAAAACTTTACTTACAATTGCTTCAAATTAAAGACTTGTATATACTACTTTCTTTACTGTACGCATACATAGCAACTAATTAAACAATTCAACAAATCAACTGCAACCAACAACTGCTATTCAATCAAGGAAAGAAGGGAAAAAACACTCAGCAAAGAGGAATTTCAAAAGCTGGAAAGAATGATTGGTTAGTGAAGCACCTCAGTTTTGGCTGAAGTACATTTGAAAAATGAATAAAGTGAAATTAATGTAGTTTCAGTGTTTTTCCTATTACAAGGCTTTATTTTTACTAATTTAAGATATGACACTTAAAACACTATTCACCTCTCTTAAGAGGAAGCTAAAGGCTGTTAACATAATACTTTTAGGATGCCCAAAAGGCTGTACACATAAATGTAAGCTTGATTAGCTGTTTGGAATAGCTATCTGAAAACGGTTTATCACAACTTTAATTTTAAATAAGTATGGCAATATATACACTCCCATTTCTCATTGTGATTTTTAGTATTAATTCCTTACATTACTAATTAATTTGAAGAAACAAAACTTTCAAGAAATACAACTGTACGTCCTACACTAGGAGCTTTTCATGAGAATCACCACCTATCTTAGCTTTTGCCAGTTCAGCAAAAATATTCTGTGCAAAACCAGAGAGATTTAATCTGATTTTTATGTTAACACAAGGCAGGCGTTGTAACAGCATTATGATAAATGTGTGCTCATTTCCCGCTAATATATAGAGGCCTTTCCGTTCGCATAAGGTGCTTCCATCTGATCTTGAGGGATTCCTCCACCCAGCAGCATCCTATGCTTCGCTGGTAGGAAAGGGTCCTTTGCCTTTCAGGGAGGCTGCGGCAGGGCAGGGGAGGGCTAGGCAGGAAAGGCCCCGTCCCCAGGCTTCCTTCTGCCTGCGTTGTTCCCAAGAAAGACACAGCCCATGCTGTACTTCACAGAAATTTTCATAGGCAGAAAAAGAGTTACATCAACAACGTGAAGGACCAAGAAGGGCAAAATACTGTGGTTTTATTTCATTTTATTTACAAAAATTGCATCACACAGTCTGGATCATTACATATTTTCAGTGGCTGGATAAATTTGTTTGAAGATAGAAGCTCTCACAGAGATTCATGGTTCTTCCCACTTTTTTCCCCTCTAGAAGCAGAGAGTGGGGAACTGCCTTGTACTGTTGATCCAAGCAGCTCAGTATTAACTCACAACCGAGGAGAAATCACACAGCCCTGTGTCAAACATTTATACTTCTCTATAAGAATATAGCTAACGTAGGTACGTACACATACTAGCTTTAGGCCGCATTACTGTTTCTAAGGATGTAGCTGAAAAGCCACAAGAACTTATATTTACATGAGAGGGTGGAGTGAGCAGGATGGGTTGTTTAGCTTTTCTGCCATGATTCTCCAAGGGAACTGGCTTTCGAAAATCATTTATGTACTTCTGGGGACTGAAAACACTTCCTTAAATGATAGTCTT